GCATTTCAGAAAACTGATCATTTCTTATCATCAGAAAATAATTAAAGTCAAACATAGCTTTACAGAGTTATTACTCACAGATAACCAGTGGCTTCAAGTAGACGAGTAGAGTAGGTAATTCACTTAACTTGAGGCGCGTGACCTACATAACATGACAAATACATACAATAAAGCACACGTTCAAATTGTACGTAACTTATTTCATTTATTTTAAGTGTGTTTCTAGCCTTTATCCTCATTATAGTGTTTTAATCTTGGCCTAAGAATGCTTTAGATGGAATGAGGATGCAAAAATGTACTTGAAAACATTTTTCAAAACTTGCTGAAAACAGGGTCCACGCTTGAGCTTGGTTTTCCTCGCTCAAGCGGACATGTAAAATGTGAAGGTACGCTCGAGCGTAACTTCTTTCACTCGAGCGGTCTGTAAACTTTGAGAAAAGTATTGGTTGGTTGATTTTCATGCTTGACGGACACTCGATCTTCGCTCGAGCATGGCTTTTGTCGCTCGAGCGATCTACAAAACACATGAACTTCTGGGAGCATGCATTTTACGTTCGAGCAAACTTCTGGTCACTCGAGCGGAGGTGCAAATTCTGGAATTTCCAGATTTGCTTCCAAGGTCCAAAACTCAATCTTAAAGCATCAAAAATCGATTTTTCTAGTCCAAAACTTGAGGGAGCACTTAGAAACTCATAAAACATCATGAATTAAGGATCATTTCAAGAAATCATGGCCCAATAGCTTGCCAATTGTGCAAAAAAAAAAAATTCAACTTAAAATTTATGAATGTTCCATGAACATAACATGTATGAATTTCTTTGAACTTAAGCTTCTCAAAACATGATCAAATGTTACAAAACAACATGAAACTTGATGATTTCCCAAAATTAAGGTGAATCCAAAACATGCATGAGGGAATTCTTGGCAATTAAACTCAAAATATGAGAAAATATGCATGCATGTATGGTATGAGTTACAATTCTCCAATTCTAACTTAATTCTCTTGTCAATCCATTTCTCTCACTTGAATTCTTGTAAAATCTAACTCAATTACACAACCAAGAGTTTGATTCCTTACCTAGAGTCCTCAATTCCTTAAATGCCAATGTTCTCTTGCTTAATCTCTCTAATTCCCTTCATTTCCTCTAATAATTGCTAGCTTGGCCTCAAATTGACTCCAATCTCTCCCCCTTCTCTCTCTCTCTCTCACGGCTGGCATCAACAAACAAAAAAAAAAATGGTGAAGAAAAGAGAGTTGAGATGTATATAGAAGTCTTATATAGGCTTGGGCAAAAGTGTAATTATTTTTTGATCAAGTTAATCAAGTAGACATTAAATTATTTTAATTTAATCGTTCTGAATCGAATTTCAATTAAACCTACCATAAAATTCTAATTAACACATAAATCAAGTCAATATCTGAATCGGATGCCGATAAAGCCTTCAATTCGTAATCCGAAACGGAAACATAAACAGATCTTTCTACATTAAACAGATATAAACACATATAATGCAATGTATGATGCAAAATTTCACTTTAATTTCTTTTTAGGTATAATTAAACATGGATTGACGTTAACTATGGGTCGGGGTTGTTACCGTTTTTCCCCCTTAAAGAGTTTGGTCCTCTAAACTCGAATTACCTTCGTTTCGGAAAAACGTTGGGTCCAACGGAAACAAATCCGGATATCTCTTAATCATGTCTTCTTTTGTTTCCCATGTAACATAATTTCCTCCGTGGTTTTGCGAATCAACCTTCACCAATGATATTTCTTTATTCCTTAATCTTTTGATTCGGCGATTCACAATATGAATAGGTCTTTCTTCGTACGTTTAATCATCCTTCAAAAGCACATGTGTGGGTTCGATAACATGGTGCGGATCTCGTAAGTAATCCCATAACATTGAGACATAAAAGACATTATGCATATGCTCCATAACTAGTGGTAAGGCTACCTGATACGTCACCGGGTTGATTTTCTCCAGAACTTCATATGGCCCAACATATCTCGGTGCTAATTTTCCTTTAACACCAAACCGCGTTTGTCCTTTCATTGGAGTCACCTTAATAAACACATGATCCCCGACTTCATATTCTTTGTCTCTTATTCGGACATTGGCATAACTCTTTTGCAGGCTCTGTGCAGTTTTCAGACATTGTTAGATCAGTTTCACTTTCTCGATTGTTTCTTGCACAAGTTTTGGCCCCAATAAAGGTCTATCACCTACTTCGGCCCAATATATCAGAGATCGGCATTTCCTACCATACAAAGCCTCGTAAGAAGCCATACCGATACTTGAATGGAAGTTGTTATTATACACAAACTCAGCCAATGGTAAGTAAATTTCCCAACTGCCTTGAAAGTCTAAAGCACACATCTGTAATAAATCTTCCAACATTTGAATGGTCCGTTTAGATTGGCCGTCTGTCTGTGGGTGATAAGTGCTGTTTAGCCTTAATTCAGTTTCCGAAGCCTGTTGTAGACTCAGCCAGAATCTTGAAGTGAATTTAGAATCTCTGTCGGATACAATAGATATTGGCACGCCATGTAATCTCACAATCTCATTAACATACAAGGTAGCTAACTTATCCACATTATACAATGATTTAACAGGTAAGAAATGTGCGGATTTAGTTAAGCGATCAACAATTACCTAGATAGAATCCATACCTCGAGGAGAGCGAGGCAAACCGACGATAAAGTCCATCGTGATTTGCTCCCATTTCCATTCCGGTATTGGAAGCGGCTAAAATAATTCGGCGGGTCATTGGTGTTCAGCTTTAACTTGTTGGCAATGAAAGTATTTAGCCACAAAGTCTGTAATACACTTTTTCATTGCAGGCCACCAGAAGTTCTGTTTCAAATCATGATACATCTTCGTATTCCCTGGATGCATAGCAAATTTAGAGCTGTGAGCTTCAGTCATAAGGCGTTTCCTCAAGTCAAAACAATTCGGCACACAAAGTCCATTATGAAATTTCAACACATTGTTTTCAAGTATAAACTCGGGCCTTGGTGTGGAGTCAATTTCATCTATGATCTTTTTCAAGAATTCATCTTGGAGCTATTTCTTTCTAATTTCTTCAATGATTGTAGGTTGGACGGAGGTAGCAGCTAAGATTCCACCTTGTTCTCGCAATACAATCTCAATCTCATTCTTTCCAAGTCGCATAACAATTCTTTTCGACCAGTGAGCAAACATGACAAATTTTCAATTGACTTTCGGCTTAAAGAATATGCCACGGTATTAGCCTTCCCTGGATGGTACAAAATCTGCAAATCATAGTCTTTGATTAACTCTAACCATCTCCTCTGCTTCATGTTCAATTCTTTTTGGGTAAAGAAATATTTGAGACTTTATGGTCTGTGTACACTTCACAAGTTACTACGAATAAATAATGGCGCCAAATTTTCAAAGCAAACATTACAGCTGCAAGTTCAAGATCATGAGTCAGGTAATTTTTCTCATAAGGACGTAGTTGCCGAGAGGCATAAGCAATTACCTTCCCATTCTGCATTAGCACACAACCCAACCTTTTATATGAAGCGTCACTGTAAATTTGGAACCCATCGGTACCATTAGGTAAAGTTAAGATTGGTGCAGTCACTAATCTGGTTTTCAACTCTTGAAAAGCTGATTCACGCTGATCATTCCAATCAAACTGTACATTCTTTTATGTCAATTGTGTCAATGGCATGGCAAGTTTTGAGAAGTCTTTCACAAATCTTTTATAATAACCAGCAAGTCTCAGAAAACTTCTAACTTGTGATACGTTGGTCAACAATGGCTTCAATTTTTTGTGGGTCTACTGATACACCATCCTTGTTGATCATATGTCCCAAAAATGCCACACTGTCAAGCCAGGATTCACATTTGGATAATTTTGCATACAGTTTCCTTTCTCTCAAAATCTGTAAAGCAATTCGCAAATGGTTCTCATGTTCTTCCCTGCTTTTGGAGTATATTAGTATGTCATCAATAATGACAACAATGAATTCATCCAGAAATTGTTTGAACACCCTATTCATTAAATCCATAAACGAAGAACTGAATAGAGTAAATTAGTTTTGTTTGTTTGAACGCCCTATTCATTAAATCCATAACTATCGATTAGTTACCCCGAATGGCATTATTAAAAACTCATAGTGCCCATATCTAGTTCTGAATGTTGTTTTCTCTATATCTTCTGCTTTAACTTTTAACTGATGATAGCTTGATCGGAGGTCAATTTTCGAAAACACTTGGGCTCCCTGTAGTTGGTCAAATAAATCATCTATCCGGGGCAATGGATATTTATTCTTGATAGTTACTCTATTCAGTTCTCAGTAATCGATACATAATCTCAAGGACCCGTCATTCTTCTTAACAAACAAAACTGGAGCACCCCAAGGGGACGTACTCGGACGGATGAATTTCTTGTCTAACAATTCTTGGAGTTGGTCTTTTAACTCTTTTAGTTCAGAAGTTGACATTCTATATAGGGTTTTGGAAATAGGTTGTGTTCTAGGTACTACATCAATAGTGAACTCAATTTCCCTATCAACTAAGTTTCCAGGCAAGTCATTCAGAAACACAGCGGGAGATTCACAAGCAACAAGAATAGTTTCCACATTAGAATTATCAGAAACCTTAGTCAAAACACAACACATATAACCCTTACATCCCTTCCTAAGCAGTTTCACAACTTTCATGGCAGAAATCAGGTATGGGGGAGGAATTACCCCATTCGTAGTAAACACAAACTCAGGTAAGCCAGGTGGACGAAATACAACAAATTTATTCACATAATCAATGGTGGCACAGTACTTAGTCAACCAATCCATACCTAAAATACAATCAAAATAATCAATGTTCAAGGGTAGTAGATCAACATACAATGTCATTTCACTAATCATAAGATCACATGCCGGATAAACATAAGCATATATCATAGAACCCCCAGATAGTGTAAATACAGATAGCAAACAATTCATAGGTTCCAACGGTCTAGTTAATTTTCAAGAAAAAGCATGTGATACAAATGAATGCGTGGAACCAGAATCAATTAGCACATATGCATCCTGAGCACAGATAGAAATTATACCTAACACTACTAATTCAGTATTCTGTACATCCCCAGGCACCAAGGCGAATACTCTCTCTTGTCTTAATGTTTCATTCCCCTTGTTTTCCCTGGCATTAGTTTTGGAATTTGATCTGGCCACTGAAACAGACCCAGCTAAACTTGCTATGGGGTGACAGGCATTCCTGGATCCCAGTGGACAATCTTTTATCATATGGCCAACTTTGCCACATCGGTAACAGGCACCAGATACACGATAGCATACTCCTCTATGTTTTTTGCCACAATTTGGACAGTTTGGTATAGATCCACTACTTTGACCAGAACTACTAGATGATCCTGTGTTTTGTCTTTTCAAAAATGATCGGCCCTTCTTGAAATTAAACCTGGCCCTCTTGCCTTTCCATTCAGTCAGTGGAATTGTAGCTTGTTTCTTTACTACTAGAATGGCCTCTGCCATCAGTGCTCTATAAAGGACGTCAACATATGTACATAATTTCAGCACACCTACTTGGTCATACACGTTCAAGTCTAATCCCCCTTCAAATTTTTGAGCCTTTTTGTAATCCGTGTCGACCATATGAGGAGCAAATCTGGCCAACTCAGTGAATTTAGCTTCGTACTCGGCTATAGATATCTTCCCTTGCTTAAGTTTTTGGAACTCGGACACTTTCCAATCTCTAAAGCATTGGGGAAAGTATTTGTCATAAAAGATCTCATTGAAATGGGTCCATGTCATATTCCCGTTACTTCCTCGAATTAACAGCCACCATCCACGGGTTTTATCTTTTAAGGTGTAGGTGGCCAAAAGAACTTTTTGCATCTCAGTATAGGGGAAGACCTTGAATAATTTTTCCATTTCAAGTAGCCATGATTCTGCCTTTAATGGCTCAATGCCACCCAAGAAAGTTGGTGGTTTCATTTTCATGAATTTTTGCGTTAGGTTGATGATGTCATTATTATCCAATTCAACTTGGACTGGAGGGGCTGGAGGAGGCATCGGTTGTTGTCTTTGTTGCTGTGCTATTGCTTTAGTTAGAGCGGTAATCATCTATTCCATTCGGCTCATGCGAGCCTCTAAGGACTCACTTGTATCATTACTTTTTGCATTCTCCATTAACTATAGGTAAACACAACAATTTTAAATATAGGGATAATCTTGCTCATTTCCTTCAATTTTATTTGTCAAATTCAAATTCAGTTTTCACATTTATGAATGAAGATTACTACACACTCACACATGCTGATGAAATGTCCCTATTTCTTTCTAGGACATCCTATAGCTTTTATGGACTTGTGTGTGCGGCTTAACATGTGCTTTGATACCACTCTGTCACGACCCAAACCCACCCCTATAGGTTTAGTGTCGTAATCGGCCAGTAATCCTTAGATTACCAAAGGCCTCTTAACAGGATAACATTTAATTGGGGGCTGCGGAAGCAATTATACCACATATGAATAGTCCATAGAGCCGTGCAAATATACATGGGACAAAAATTTGAAACCTTATGTGCTATATTTATATATATGACATTATGATGCATTAGTCTTCATCACATTTGATACAGTTGTAGCCCAAAAAAAGAAGACAGCTTTTATACACAAAACAAAAGACTTGCTCGTATTATAAACAAAAACATAAGTTCTTTACTTATGCCACTTAGACTTGACTTGATCACACAAGGGAACCTCCTCGAAGGCACAACGGTTGGCAAACAAAACAGAAGTGCCAAATCTTCAACTTTGGGTCTAGTCACGCGCCTGGTCACCTATATACATAATATAAACAGTGAGCGAAAGCTCAGTGAATAATAGCAGAATAAAGATTTTAATGAATGATGCCCATAATAGATTTCAAATCTCGTAGCAAATCAAAATCATAATCAGGTTTATAGCAGAAACAGAGTCATAGTCTTATTCATATTCAAATCATGTGTGGTACATCCATTAGCATAAACATGTCTCTTTGGTCAAGCATATCAAGTTCCAAAAAGGAAACTCCAGTACCGGGTAACATATCTCATACATAAGTCGCGGTATTGTTTCCCTCGGGCGAGTGCTTGTGCCACGATATTATCTCCCTCGGGCGAGGGCCTTATAAAAATAAGCCACAGTATTATGTCTCCTAGGCGAGGGCCTTTGCTAAGGATACCACAATTATTTTTTCAAGAAACTTGAACAATCATTCATTCATACAAAACGTAGCATTTTAGAAAACTGATCATTTCTTATCATTAGAAAATAATTAAAGTCAAACATAGCTTTACAGAGTTATTACTCATAGATAGCCGGTGGCTCCAAGTAGACGAGTAGAGTAGGTAATTCACTTAACTTGAGGGCATGACCTACATAACATGACAGATACATACATTGAAACATACGCTCGAATTGTACGTAACTTATTTCATTTGTTCTAAGTGTGTTTCTAGCCTTTATCCTCATTATAGTGTTTTAATCTTGGCCTAGGAATGCCTAGGATGGAATGAGGATGCAAAAATGTACTTGAAAACATTTTTCAAATCTTGCTGAAAATAGGGTCCACGCTCGAGCTTGGTTTTCCTCGCTCGAGCGGACATGTAAAATGTGAAGGTACGCTCGAGCATAACTTCCTTCACTCGAGCGGTCTGCAAACTTTGAGAAAAGTACTGGTTGGTTGATTTTCACGTTCGACGGACGCCCGATCCTCGCTCGAGTGTGACTTTTGTCGCTCAAGCGATCTGCAAAAACACATGAACTTCTGGGAGCATGAATTTCATGCTCAAGTAGACTTCTGGTCCCGCGAGCGGAGGTGTGAAAACAAAGGTGGTCGCTCGAGCATACAATACTTTGCTCGAGCAGAGGGTGCAAATTTTGGAATTTTCAGATTTGCTTCCAAGGTCCAAAACTCAATCTTAAAGCATCAAAACTCGATTTTTCTGGGCCAAAACTTGAGGAAGCACTTAGAAACTCATAAAACATCATGAATTAAGGATCATTTCAAGAAATCATGGCTCAATAGCTTGCTAATTGTGCAAAAAAAAAATTCAACTTAAAATTTATGAATGTTCCATGAACATGACATGCACGAATTTCTTTGAACTTAAGCTTCCCAAAACATTATCAAATGTTACAAAACAACATGAAACTTGATGATTTCCCGAAACTAAGGTGAATTCAAAACATGAATGAGGGAATTCTTGGCAATTAAACTCAAAATATGAGAAAATATGCATGCATGCATGGTATGAGTTACAATTCTCCAATTCTAACTTAATTCTCTTGTCAATCCATTTCTCTCACTAGAATTCTTGTAAAATCTAACTCTATTACACAGCTAAGAGTTTGATTCCTTACCTAGAGTCCTCAATTCCTTAAAAGCTACTTAATCTCTCCAATTTCCTTCAATTCCTCTAATAGTTGCTAGCTTGGCCTCAAATTGACTCCACTCTCTTCCCCTTCTCTCTCTCTCTCTCTCTCTCTCTCTCTCTCTCTCTCTCTCTCTCGGTTGGCATGAACAAACCAAAAAAAAAATGGTGAAGAAAAGAGAGTTGAGATGTATATAGAAGCCTTATATAGGCTTGGGCCATAGTGTTAATATTTGTTGATCAAGTTAATAAAGTAGACATTAAATTATTTTAATTTAATCATTCCGAACCGAATTTCAATTAAACCTACCATAAAATTCTAAAAATTCTAATTAACACATAAATCAAGTCAATATCTGAATCGGATGCCAATAAGGCCTTCAATTCACAATCCGAAACAGTAACATAAACAGATCTTTCTACGTTAAATAGATATAAACACATACAATGCAATGTATGATGCAAAATTTCACTTTAATTTCTTTTTAGGTATAATTAAACATGGATTAACGTTAATTGTGGGTCGGGGTTGTTACAATAACTAATGATTTCCCCTTAAGATTTTCATCCACCAAACGAGCAAGTACATTCATACCTTACGTATTTTGAAATAACCCCTCGAGGCTAAAGGAATAGTAACCACTCACTAACTAGATTCACCTTTCAAAGAGTGGAACTCACTACGGTACACTCAAGACAACACTAAGACCAACACAATAGCTAGGGTAAAAGGCAATGGTTGAAAATTTTCTAGGCATTCTCAATTCAAGGTATTTGTTAGCCACCTATCAGCAAACACACACGTCCAATTATGTTACAACTTAATAATATAGTAGATCAAGGTTCATACTTTGCAAGGTTTGCCTCACCCCCAAGGTGTAACAAAAATATTTCCCTTCTCACTAAACAACGGATACTCCCATATGCAACTATTTCAACATAATATACCGCAAAATGTCATCCTCACTCAAGGGGTAAAACGGAGGAGTTAATTTCAACTCTAATCACACAATTGACATAGTCACAACTCACACTCAATTCATTTATAAACACATGCATAATTCAAACCCTCGCGAAATTTGAGACCATTCCCTAAAACAACCATAAATGACAATGCTAATTATTCTAAATTGAATATTTTATACTAAACTTATCTGCGGTACTAAACCTGTATATCAACGATGCATATTTCCATTATACTCATCGTGGGATAAGAATCACTACACAAATTTTGTGACTACCACACTCATAATACAAAATAATCATTACTGCAAGGAATAAGGACTTAGATTCATCTCCATTTCAAGCAACCAAATCACATAGTCAAGATACACCAAAGCCAACTGAAAAGGCTCACCCACAACTCCTACCTTAGAAATTTCTACCTATAGTTAGGAATGACCATAGCGTTTGACGTCAATTCATTTCAACATATCCAACAAGACTTTCCAAAAAAAGATCCCAAATTCTAACTACATTAGTAAATTTCAAAACACTTATCATCAACTTTTATGAATCTCAATAGTTTCACATGTTAACTCCAAAATTTAAGCTCAAAACAGACACACTTATAAGGGAAGAAAATCTTGGTGCTCTAATTATGCCTTCTTCTTCTTACTCCACTCGACAACCAACTCAAACATGACTAACTTCGTTCTTTCAAAAAATTTGGTTTAGTTCACTAGTTCCAGCATCCACATTTCTAACATTTGTTCTTAGTATATTCTAATCATCACTAAAGTCTCAACTGGACCATACCACACTCAATAGGTTTAACTTCTATCTTATTCTATTTTCAAAACTCTTCATAACAACAAAAAGTTCAACATACAACAAAATCTTTACTATCCTAAGGTCACAATTACTTCTCATGAACTTACAAGGTCGGTAAATTAAGGTTTCACACAAATCTCACAATCGCATTCTCATGTTTTCCCAAAACAATATATCTTACCAATAAAGTGTTGCCAATAATTCAAGCCCCAAAAGTTTTCCCCCATTTGGGGTCACACTCGTCATTACATCCTATAAGAAAAATAGTGGTAAGATTCAACCCACACTTAAGTACTCCACACGAGATCTCATACGCCACACGCGGGTTATACATAGGCCTATGCACGTATCCACTTCACATAAGGCAAACCACATAACCAGATAGTCACATAGAGCCCATACGGATCACTCTCCTAAGATGTCAACTCGTCCCACGATGCTCAAAGACTTTCAAGTGGAACAAGAATTGATCGGGAGCCTTTTCAAAAAGATCTCAATGAATGCGATAGGCACAAATTGTATTCTAGAAGCTTAACTCCATACCTACATAGTCACACAAACACATAAAGCATACAAGGTAAACTAACTTCCCTTCCTAGCATGATAAACTCATTGTGGCAAAAGTCACATCCCACGAGCTCAAGGTATTCAAAGCTGGTTAGCTTTGATACCAATTTGTAATGCCCTGATATTTATAATTACTTATCCTTTATTAATCTCCAATTTCACAATGTGAAGAAAGAGCTAAAGAAAATTAAGTAAAGTACAACCATTTCACAAGTCCAATATTTATCTCTTCTCATTAGATTTCTCATAGAAGTTACATTTCACTTTACAACATTAGTGTTTGAAATAATAATACATTATAGTTCAAGAAATAAAAGAAATACAATAAAATGTCTAAAGATGGCTTACACCTTTCAAGGCTAGGGCC